TATAAAATCATAAACCCTAGGTCCCACAGTAATCACTTTTAGATAAACCAACATACACAGAAAAAAAACCAAAAAACATTATATATTACGGAAAATTGTTATCTCATACTTACCGTAATTTTCCTTTCCTGGCTCTCCTCATGTCGGCATACTAATGGGTTAACCCCGCCCCCGGCTCCTAATAGGACCACCCCTAACTAGAGTATAAATCCCCCTTCTCCCACCTCTTCTGTGTTCAATAGCACGCCGAGCGAAGGCATGGGATGGAAGCTATGCCGACATGAGGAGAGCCAAGAAAGGAAAATTACGGTAAGTTTTCCGTATTCCGGGCTCACCTCATGTTGGCATACTAATGGGACATAGCAAGCAATAACCACAAGGGAGGGAAACATGCCAAAAGAATTTAATAAGCTGCTGAACCCGCAGAAGATAGTACGGACGCCCCAAAGGCTGAGTCCGCAGAGCTAGACACATCGACATTATAATGCTTAATGAACATATTAGAGGACGTCCAACTTGCTGCTTTACAGACGACCTCTACCGGAACTTTCGTGTAGGCTGCCCAAGACGTAGCCAGCGACCTTGTAGAATGAGCCCTGATCTCTTGCGGAGGGGGAAGACCCCGATGCCATATAAGAGGAGGTGGGAGAAGGTGGATTTATACTCTAGTTAGGGGTGGTCCTATTAGGAGCCGGGGTTAACCCATTAGTATGCCGACATGAGGTGAGCCAGGAAATATATATATATATATATATATATATATATACACATATATAAAACCTAGCGAGGTCATACATAACCTGATTCGGCCGATTTGATAAGATACTTGAGAAAGCATTGGGATATCTAGGACTACACTTGGGGGCAAAGAATCAGAAGCACTTACTTTCCAAATTGGAAAATTTCTGTCGGGCAGGGCAGGAAAGGCCTTGCCTTTCCACACTATAATAACAATAATGGAACTTTCAAATTTTTAATAAGTCAGCAGCTCAAATTTTTCCATCCTGTCAAGTTGCTTTTAAAGTAGAGTTATGACCTCCCATTTAAAAAAAAAAAACAGGGCTTCAGCACTTAATTTTAGGTGCATCTGCACTCAAAGTTTTCTCATAGTCCTCCTGCAAAGCCCCATAATTGCTAGTTGATCCTGCCAGTGAAGTACAAATAATGCAAATTCCTGTGATGTGGTGGCAACGATGCTGCACTGTTCCTGAATTCAGAGCAGCATTGCATTGTCCCTCATGTCGCTGTTCCTGATTGAACCACATTTGGATACATATATGACCATCAACATTTTCACTGCTAATGCAATTGTCAATCAGCAGCTGGCCACACATAGCTCAGCCCACTGCTTTCTGGAATGGCAGCACTGCCTCTGTTGCACAAACCCGCTCATTGGGGACACCTCTCCCCCTCACATAGAAAACAAGATCTGTCACAAAGTCAGGTCTGTCACTACTGGCTGCCATCATCCTCATCCCCTGTCCTTGTATGTGTGCAATTGTGCTACAATTCCTGCTAGTTGGTGCCGGTGCACTTCAACGACATGGCTGTGTATTTCTCAAAGGAGGAATGGCGCAGTCTGGAGGAATGGCAGGAGAATTATGATGGAGAATTATCAGACTCTGGTGTTTATAGGTCAGCCAGAGATTTTGGCCAGGATTGAGAGAGGTGAAGATCCCTGCATCAGGGCCCACCCACTCTCCAAGGAGCCCCGTAGGTATGACAGCACTGTACACACAAACAGGAAAGCTAGATCGATACTTGAAGATGATTTGGACATTGGACTACAGATACACTACCCAGAGATGCTGCTGGAGGAGCAAGAGCCACAGCAGCAGTGGGGCATGCTGGATATATTAATATTTTTGGATGAACATTTTGACTTTTTTGTGTTTGTTTTTCTGCTTTTAATAAACACTTATTTTGCAACAAAAAAAAAACCCTCTCATTGGCAGCTGCAGTGCGTGGGAGGGACAGCATGTCAAAAACTGATAGAAAGAGATTTGGCTCAGGTAGGGAAGGTAAAGGAAGTCTTATTTACTGTTTGAGGCGTTTGTGTCACATAACTTGATTTGGGACTTGTTTAGACTGTCATAAGTGAGCTTTTAGTCGTACTTTAAGGCTACTGTATATCTCTTATAAACAGGGATAGAATACTCAGCATGAGCCAAACCCCTTCTTTGTTGAATAGTTTTTAATGCAATGAAGCAATCTTGTTGAGCAGAGATGAAAGTATAAATTAGACTTTGCTATTTCAATATATAATAAAAAGACTAAAATGCTAAATAAAATAATTGTCGAAACCAGGGGCGTAACTAGAAATCACAGGGCCCCATAGCAAAAATTTGTAGAGGGCCAACCCGCACCCCCCGCTGGTGCCTGAACAACAGCATATATTATTATTATACAATATGATTAAATGCAGTTTGCAATAGATCACTGTCCCTGAATGCAGAATACGTACATCCAGAGACAGTGATCTATTCAAAACTGCATTTAATCATATGACGCACATTACGTGCGGACTGCCGCTTACAGATATGGCCGCTATCACCTGGTCATTAACTTCAGTGGGTACAGCAGCCACATCTAAGTGGGACACCTGACATTCCTGTCACAAGAATCTGTATGTTTCTGCTGCAGGAATGCCAGAACGTCATGTGTAACGAGGCCTAATTCTTTAACAGTGCCACCAATAAAGCTGGGAAAATTGGAATTACAATTACACAAGGGGGGTTCAAATTATAACTTAAAATACCACAGTGGTTCATCATTTGTAACCCAACTTTCCCCGGCTTCACTGGTGTGGCAGTGTTATTTTAGGTTATAATTACATTGCCACACCACAGAAGGATTACACAGTCCAATATAACACACTTTCCCTCATTTCTTTGGCTTGGCAGTGTAAATACAACACACAGAGAGGGTGACAATGGGCGGGTACAAAGAGTGGGCAGTGTGGATGCACAGCATCTCAGCTCTCTTGCTCTGGCCAATTCTAAGGGCTTGTTCACACCATATACAGTGCGTTCCAGTGTGATTAGCTGCTGGAACGCACTGTATGGATTTCTTTTCCTGACCGGGCCCCCCTCTAGTGCGGGCCCCATAGCGCCCGCATGGGTCGCTATGGCAGTAGTTCCGCCCTTGGTCGAAACATTCATTCAAATCAGCAGGTATTCTATGTCTGTGTAGAATCACTAAGCAGCACAACATACAGCAATGTCTAGATTAAGAGCCAGCACGCTTTTCCACATTAAGACGTCTAGATTGTTTAACTACCCTTAAACCTATAATGGAGAGGTGGGAGCCTCTGTACTCTGTATCAAGACACACATTCTACCAGGGCACAGAGAGACCTAAAGTGTAAGTGTTTTTGCAAAAGTTCATTTATTTCACTAATGCAACATAAAGGTGAAACTAATATACTACGAGATAGACTCATTACATGCAAAGCAAGATAGTTCAAGCCGTGATTTGTCATAATTGTGATTATGGCTTACAGCTCATGAAAACCCCAAATCCACAATCTCAGAAAATTTGAATATTACATGCAATCAATAAAACAAGGATTGTACATAGAATAATAACGGATCTCTGAAAAGTATAAGCATGCATATGTACACAAGAATTTTCACAAACTTTGTTGTAGATTCCTACTTATTTCTGTTCTGAGGAGTTAACTGTTTGTTGCACCATATCCTTACCAGATTGATTCCTGAATAGAAAGATCAGGCTTAATTTAAACCACTGGAGCAAATCTAAGCATCCTAATAAGGAAAACTACAGTGTCTGTTTGAGCCTTGGGCAACACAAACAAAATACGTTTGGAGGGGGATACCCAAAATATGACTTGTACGTCAATGCAAACATTTAATAAAACTTGTGAGTCAATCCAACAAGTAGGAAATTACACTTCTGATGGAATTCCATAAACTAACAGTGTTGTCTTATTTAAAGGAAGTGACAGTTAACAGTTTCAGAAAATTACAGCATTTACAGATTGAAGTTGAGGAGAAATTTTTAACAACATACAATTACAAAATGGCTTTTAGCCATTATATATGGTATATTTATTAACTATAGTTTAAGACATTTATGCTTTAGGACATTTACGTTTGCCCAGGGCCACATGAACTGCAGTAGCAGGATAGAACACATGCCTGTATATCAATAGTACATGGAAAGAAAAATTGTAATAGCTTTATTCAATTTTATTTTAGTTGCTTTATTTTTAAAACTTTTTGTTGTAAAACTGTTGTTTTATATCTCCTTTTCTTCCATTCATATACAATTGTTGTTTTACAAATAAAAATGTACCACATAACAAAGGTTTCCCAGAGGACTTTGGGTTTTCTAAAGTGACAGCATAGCAGATCAGCTATCTTTGCAGCTCTGTTTGTATGAATAAAACCTTGAATTCAGTAGTCTGGTAAGGGATCAGCAGCTGCTGTGATGAGTAATTCTAATTCTGTAAACAATAATGTCCTTCTGCACAGCTAAAAAGTAATCATACAAATGATGTGAAAAGTTGACTAAAGTGCCACTTGCTGGCTGAAAAGACTACATAGTAATATTGAATATTTCTTATTTGCCTGACACAATGCTTTAAAAAAAAAATAATAGAACTGAACATTAAAAACAACAATCATATGTAGAAATAAAATGTACATTGCCTAATCATAGTGTGAATGCTTACAATATAATCATATAAATTGATGAGACCAGTAAGTCCATTAAAGTACAGGCTTCATTGTTTTTCAATGCTTTATATGCAAGGCACACTGGGACATACATATATCATTATAAATCTTAAAACAAGATACTAAATAATTGTTTTTAAAAGCAGCAAATTGTGCTGTTCTACCAACATCTGGGTTTTCAGATATTTACTATATAGTGCAACTTTATTAAATCAACATACATCATTGTTACTTCCCTAGAAGCTGATAAGGAAATGGTGAAAAATATAAAGAAGGTCTGCAACAATTGCATTGACTCACCCGTATGTACAACTGCAGAGTCTCCTTCTCTTTCTGGGGGTTTCGATATTTTTCATAGAAGTCTCTCTTTTTCTTGTTGTCTTTTGGAATTCTCTCTCTCCTCTCCCTTTTCTCAGCGGGCTCATCTGAGCTGTCTGGGGACGGCTGCTGTGCCAATGGTTTACTCTTCTCCACTTCAATATAATTTTCATTTGGATTCAGCACGATAACTGCATAACCTTCCTGCAATCACAGGAGAAAGTATAAGATATGAGGTTAATGAATACACTCATATTGATTTCCTATATAGAATATTCAACTTTCTGATAATCAATTGCACAACTAATCAGGACACAACTTATACATAAAACTCCCTTGTGCTTCCAATAAACTTGGTAGAAAGAAACGAAAAATTGTGTTGCAAACATTATACATATGCAAGATAACTTAACTAGAGTAATAAAAAATGTATTGTATATTTAAAAGGTTTGCCTTTTAAGATCCTCTACTTTTGATAAATTGTAAAAAACTTAAACAGAAAAAAATATTTATGAACTCAATGTGCCTTTATATAGTTGAGAATTACTATAGTGGCATCACTAGAGAATTCTTTCTGGTTGGCATGGCATAGTTATTGCATCAGATAGATGCAGATCCTTGTTTTCATGGTCACTTTTTCAGCTAAAATGGATTTGTGCTTAACCACTTGAAGACCGGGGTGTTTCATCCCCTTCCTGGCCAGGCCATTTTTCAGTATTCAACGCTGCGGTACTTTGACTGACGTCTATTCCGTCATGCAACGCTGTACTGATACGAATTTCATACGATTTTTTGGGGACACATAGAGCTTTCTTTTGGTGGTATTTAATCACCACTGGGGTTTTTATTTTTTACTATATAACAAAAAAGGTACCCTAAATTTATAGAAACTTGTACTGAAAAAGTATGCAGTTGCAATTGATGAACCATTTCTAAAGATCATAGCTTCCTTGCTTTCATACAGGTCCAGTAGCTCTCTGATTTACTTGAACCAAGTATGCAAATCAAGAGTTCTGTTTTTCATTTTTTCCAAAACATTTTATTAAATGTGAACAGAATTACAACTTTACCATGACAGTTAAAGTGCAATGTCTTTTCGTTTTGTCTATTGTTTTTTTAGAAAATTACATTGACACATATACAAATATAGAAATAAAGTTTAAGATCTTAGAGATATGACCAGATATCGAGGTGTGTACATCTGGTATATTAGAAATTCCGAGCAGATAACGTAAGGTGTAAAAGAGCAAACAGGAGAATCAAGAAGTAAACTATTAACAACATATAGTAAATTATCATCTCAACTCCCTCTGGTGATGTAGTTCGACTACTCCTTTCCAAATACTATTGGACATCAGGCCAAGATAAAATATTCTCCAAGTCATGAAGTAGCTTAATAGAACACATTAAAACAATAAAACAGTAAATATTACAGTCAGGACTCCCCTACTGGTGCAGCCTCGCCTCATGGGACAATCCCCTCTGCAAAGAGAAAATATATTATATAGAAGCCTCGTAGCCTATGGATCAGGAAGTACCCAACAAATGAGAGTCCAGCCTTATTCCTGTACAGCATTGTAATAGAGGGAAGGGTGCAAACTATAATACTAATTGCCAGCAGCTGACCCCCTTGAAGTCTTGACCCAGTAGTCAGGAAGCACTAGTCTCCCAAGTGAGCACTGTAGTTCCCCCTCCAGGTACCAGAGTATCTGTAGGGATGAACCAACCCATGTAGTTCGAAGTCCCGGAGTTGGGATAGAAGAAAGGGATTCACTCTATTGAAAAAATTCTTAGTCTGTTGATCAATATCGATAAGGAGTTCCAGATGTTATTGCTACATCAATGCAGTAGCCGTTGACAAAAAATTATTCAAGGGAGGTGGGTTGGGAGACAACCAAAACTTCATCAGCACTCTTCTAGACAGTAGGAGACAGGTGTACAACCACAGCACTCTATCTTTTTTGAAAGTGGGACGTGGTTCCCAGTAACTGAATAAGCATAAACAGGGTTCCTTGGGTATCCGAATCCCCAAAATTCTAGTAAAGAGGGTAATAACCTCTGTCCAATAGATGAAAGATCACATTGTGGGTATGCTTGTATGGGCTCGGAGCTTTGATCTTAAAAAATAATCATAGGCATAATACGCTTTATGCATAATGCGAAATTTCATTTCCCTCAAAATTTCATTTGATGTACAACATCTGACATTCTGATATCCATGAAGTAATCTCTCATGGAGCTCATCAACTGTAAATATTTTGTACCATTTTATGACAGAGCATCTCAATGGCTTCAGAAGAAAAGGAGAATTAAGGTGGGGTTAGATCTAAGAGATAAAGTAGTGCTTGGAGATACAGTAATTGGGGGATCCAAATTAGTGCTTTTGAGTAAGAAGGGGTTGTGTGTTTCACTTTCCGAAAATGCGTCTGTTGGGAAAAATGTAGAAAATGATTTCTGGAGATGTTCTAATGAATGCAACGGGAGGAGAAGGACAGTGGTGTCTGAGAATCCGTATGAGAAAGGTTTTCCAGAGTAAAGAGTCCCTTGGCCTTCCAGTCCACCTACACTGCATGTTCCTGTCCTGAAAGAATTTGGGGGTTACCTCTAATGGTCAGATATTGAGAGATATATGGATGAGAGTCCAACCGTAATCTGGATTCTCTTCAAGCCACTACAGTATCTCTGTAAAAAACTTACCTCCCTTCATTCCGGGCACAGCGTCCACCGCGGCGTCACACTGCTCCTCCCCTCCTCCTCCGACTGGCTGTTAATTTATACTACGGGGTTTGAATTGCTAGGTGTCCTGTTGTTGTTTAGGACGCTGAGCAATAACCCTGCACGCTACCACGCCACTCTCCATCCTGACTGTACCACCAGTGGAACCCTTCACCACTCAGGTGGAACCCTGTACAACTTAACCCCTCTTCAGCTGGAATTTCTGCAGATCGCTGCACCTGAGCTAGCTGGGCTTCCCTCTGCCTTACTAGCACTCTTATATGGTTGAGTGTAATCCTCCATCCCTCCCCATCCAGGATTGCATTTACAAGGAATGCATCTGCTAACTATTGGAACTACTGTTCTTATCTGCCATTGCTAACCGGAAGTACAACCTTATTACTGGACTGTATTCGCATCTGTTTAAAACAAGTTATGCATGTTACATGCTCCTTTGGTGTGGGTTCCCTGCTGAAGCTCTAGCTACCTTCTCTGTTTATTGGGAGTGATGATTCCTAGGATGCCCTCTACTACTTGTATGCAGTAATACAGATTGAATTAGAGATTATGCACAATCTATTTTGCATCGTTTGGGTGTATGAGGTAATACTACCTACCTATCACTGCAGGACAACTGTGAGTTAATACTAGCTGTATGCATTTAATACAGACATAGTGAACACACATCTCTGCTAAGTGGTGCATGTGTTAGGACTACTGCACCACAGCTAACCTTCACACGCTTTCCTGAAGGGATTACAGAGAGCACAATTATTTATAGTCTCAGCAACAGACAGTTTACACTTCCTTCTGCAGTTGTGATCCACACAGGCAAAAAAACACTTCCTGATATAAGCATTTCAATCTCTTATAATCATGTTGTTCTTCAAATGCGTGGGAAGGTTGGAAAGTCTAGTATGGAGAATCGCAGCTAGCGACCATGGAGCAACTAATTCTTATTCCAATGCATAGTTGGAGTATAGAGACAGGCCAGTAATCCAGTCAAAAAAATGGCTGAGCAGACAAGCCAAGTTATAAGCTTGGATATAAAAGATACCCATGCCTCCTTCAGTTTTAGGAGACATTAATTGTTGAAAAGAGATCCTGGAGTAATGCTATGTTGACTTTCAATTTAGACAAATGTCGGAAAATTTTTGATCGTTTATGGGGAGATCGGAGGCATTTAAAATCCCAGGGGATCACTTTAAATTGCAGCAAGAAGGAGATTTAAGCAGTAAAGGATCTAACACATAAGATAATTGATTCCCATCTTGCCCCAAGATACCCGTCAATGAACATTAGCGACCATGAACTTATAACGGTTCTCCTGACTCTCCCCTGCAAAATAATAGGCTTAATGATTCTTCTCGGACTCCCGCTGCTCTCCCCCGCAAGGGCTGAGGCACTAGGGATCCGAGCAAAAATGGATGGCTGTCAGCGGCTGCAGATTTTTTTATCGGTTTAATATTGATTTGATAAACATTTGCACAATTATCGAAGGACCTACAAAATTAGTAGCACTATATTTTTATTCTAACAGGCCTGTGCTTTCAGAAAATATATGGTTTAGAGGGTCTTTTACAAACAGTAGCAATGCAGCAGTAGAAAATCAAAACAATGGGAAAAATTGCAAAAATGGTGTGGCCAGCTGAGGTTAAAAGCGTTCGAGGGCTTAGCAGCGAAAGGGTTAAAAGAAATATTATACTTTAAGAAATGTATACAAGAAATGCAAACACTTTAAAAACACAATTTCTATTGATATACACCAGTAATATGCTTTCGTATTTTGGGGGAACATTTTTTTTTTTTTTTAGATATTGGCCCTTTTGTGCTTGAGTCTGTTGCTATTTTTTTATATGTAGGATGTCAATCTAGCATCAATTTCTTCAGCAGTGCTACCTTAGACTAGGTTAAATGGTCACATTTGTGATCAATGGAGTGCTAGTCAACATTCAGTCACACAAAGCTGATCATATGCAGCACTATAAAAAGCAAGCAAAGTCAAAGGGACTAGCATCACTGCCGACAACTGTATTATGAAATTAATATTCTGGAAAATCCTTTTATTGGGTTTCCCCTTTCTTACAGAAAAAAGATTTTATACCACATTTGCAGCATCGACCCATTATAAGAATCAGGATGAAGAATGTAGTGGGCTCTAGGTGAGACATCTATCTAGAGCCTAAAGACAACGATAAAAAAAAACGGGGGTGGGGGTTGGGCTCAGTGCTAGAATGCACCACCCACTGTCTTGGTTAAAGGATGCTTTCATAAATTCTATAAGCATACACTAAATGCAACATCCCAATAACCTCTCCATCACCATTGGGTTATGAGGCACCTATATTTGGACTAGATGAGCTACTATTATATACTGTATATATATATATAGGCTTTTCTTTACATCTAGTATGGAGTATATAAATCAGCAAGGGAAATTCCAAAATATGAGTTGGTATGAAGAAAATATTCACTAAAATTCCTGTTTC